TAAATGAAGAAAACGCAATTTACAAGGCGTGCCATTTTGTGAACCCGTACCTGTTTAGAAACTTTTCAAGGTGAAGGTATCTATTAGTAACACATTAAGAAAAAAAGCGTTATGGAATGCTCGGTTATATACCTGAGCCAGAATGTATATATATGCTTAGTGAATGAAGTATTAATGTGGCATACTGAACATGAACCTTAGAGTATTTTTGTCACTGTTTAACTAATCCATTAACGTAATGAGATACGTGATATAAATACATAACCAACTTCGTGATTGATGTCGGACTGCTCATTAAAAAATTAAAATATGTAACATGGCTATGGCGAGCGATGGGTATTAACGGTTGGGCGATGTCGCCGGTAGATCGCTCCCGCAGCTATGGCGAGCGATGGGGATAATGCTGTATCCCGATTTACCCACTTTTTAAAATAATATGGGCAGAAAAATGTTGTGAGAAGGATTATAGTCTATTTCATATTAATTTACCAGTGTTTACCTGTGTTTATACCTATATTTTACCTACGGTCACATGTGCCATCTAGCCTATTAAATGATAGCTATTTTTTTGAGTGTTTTAAAAATATATAAAATAAGCAAGCATTGCATTTTATTTCTTTATATTGATATATATATGTCACTGAAAATTTTAACAAATTCAAGACCTTTTTTTCTTATATATATATAAATTTCAATTTATTTAAATTAATTATCATTTACTAGAAGAGGTTAACATTCAATTAAATGTAACATTATATCAGAATTAAAGTTTTACATTTTTGATCAATTTGTCTGACTAAGACAACTCCTGGGGAACAGTTCGTACTGTTTGATGATGGTGACGATGGTATGTTTAATTGTATTTATATGTATCTAATGAAAATGTAATGAAAAGTAGACTACAGGTAGAATCTCTGATAATAACTCACACAGGTAAAAACACAGGTAAATGAAGTCAGGTGAAATCTATAGTTCATATGAAACTGACTATAATTGGTTTTTATTGTCTTCCGAAAATATCACCTTTCTTTGTTTAAAAAAAGTGGGCAAATCGGGTACTCCCGAGAATAATAGGCAGCCCTCTTTTTACCTGGGCGATGTCACGGGGAGATCGCTCCCGCAGCGTTGGTGAGCGTTCGAGAATAACGGTTAGGCGATGTCGCGGGAAGATCGCTCCCGCAGCAATGGCGAGCGATGGGGATCATAGGCAGCATTCTTTTTACCTGTGAGATGTCGCGGGAAGATCGCTCCCGCACCGATGGGGATCATAGACAGCAGTCTTTTTACCTGTGAAATGTCGCGGGAAGATCGCTCCCGCACCGATGGGGATCATAGACAGCAGTCTTTTTACCTTGGCGACAGGTCGTTTACCGATTATCTTTAATGAGTTGACTTTGTAACTTTATGAAGCTTAATTGCGTCACTTGCACCGTTTTTTATGAAAATGAGCACACGCCGATACAAGAATACAATTTGGTGTCAACAGCGGTGTATAAATTATCTTGGGAACTTTTCAGTTATAAAACTTACATGGTATACTTAATTCGGATGCTTTAAAATGTAATGTTTGGAGAAAATTAGCAGGGTATATGGTTGAAGGTCAACAGAGTACACCCAGAAAAATCCTGCCAAGACTGAAATTTTATTCAACTTCAACTTTTTCCCTTAAGGTCATGATATAAATGTTTATATATTAGTGCTCCTTCCTTTTGACTATCGTTGATATTGTGTATAAGTATAAGCAGCATAGTTGACATTGCTGTCCTTGTCTACCATGTTATTTGTCATTTGATCAAGTAACTTTGCTGAATCTATATTTTCTTTGTTGTACTTGATGTAAACATAAACGAAGACGTAATACGATAAAGGTGAAAACATGAAAAGTGACTTACTGTATTTATAATTAGATTGCCTTAAACATCAAAGAACTTAGTCCACTTACCTCACAAGAATGTCTTTATAGTTCAGTCGCCTTACATCGTTAATACTATACTATACTCACAACCTACTTCAAAATATATACATGTACCCCGAATGTTAACTGTATCGCTTTGCAGCATACTCATATTTCCCTACCTATTACTTTTACAATGCTTGATGGATTTTATTTTAAGCAATAACGCATAGGCCATTCCTTTTAATATTTTGCCACTGTGTTAACCGTAGAATGTCAGTACAGTCAGCTCAGTCAAATACTGTAGTTAAATTAATTGTTTGGTCCTACTGTGTTTTATACTTTGTACTGAAAGGTGCTATTAATTTGTGTGTCTTTTGTACGATGTTCGAGATTGTATAGGGTAGATACTGCTTGTGGAGTTTTATTCCCAGAGGTTTGCCGTGATCTGTATGCCACATTGCAATTCATCCGACGTGTACTTGACCTTGCTAAAATCGTAAGATATATGTTAATTACCAAATTTATTACATTGTGGGACTAGTGCACCTCCCCATCTAGATTTTCCCTATCACCTTGGGGTTTACCTCAGTCGCCTCCTAGACTTCGAAAGTTTGCTCCTACAAGGACGAAACACCTGTTTGATCCTAGACGACGTTCTGTTTAAACTGCCATTAGAACTGTATGGAAGTATATTTTGAAATAATATTTTTATGATAATCTCGTAACAGAGGATTTCAAGATATACAGACCGAAGAAGGTTATGCCGAAGTTTAATTTTCGTAAACATTGATCTCATTGGAAAATATTCTATTTCTTGTATATATATATAAAGTTGAACGTGTTTGATCATCCTTGGTATGCCGGATGGCTCCGTTGTTGTTAACACCGTTAGCCGTATAATTTCAGAAAGATTAAGACAACATTGTTTTTATGGATATGTCTTGGGTAACTTCAAATAAAAACACAATTCTATTATTCTAGATTTTGCTGTCTTATTTAATATTCATAAACATGTTACATGTCTCTTTAAGTTAAATAAAAACGATATTGATGATTCTAGCGATTATATATGATCACTGTAAAAGATGATTTGTAAAGAAAAGCAGGAGGTACACATAGCTTACGAGTCAGCTTTGATCCCCTTAAATCAAATACAGTATGTCAGAAACTGGTACGATAATATATATATACCTGTGGTCTATATTGAGCTTTCAGTTATGTTTACAAATGCCTTACTCAAAGACAGAGACGATAAAAATGATTGGAAACAGATAAGTACTATCATACAAAGGCAATGTAGAGATACCCACCAAAACAATAAATGCAGCAATAACAATAGCAATGTACGTATCATCCTTGTAACAAAAGAACCTTTACCTGGAACTTGTCAAAGGGTTCATCTTGTGAGACAACTGAACTACATTGTAAATGTCATGCTAATATAAATTGTGCATGGCATTTACATATATCCCACCTTGCGATCATACTTGTTTATAATTCTGACCAACAATTTTACTACCTCTCCAAGAGGACGTGAGATCCCCATGTGTCATGAAATTAAGCATTAAACAACTTTATGTTCCTTCCTTCGTTGCAATATATTTGATTCTACTAACTATGGATCTTGAAATAAGACTTTTGAATATTTCAGTTCGTTTTAACACTTTAGTTTCACCAATAAGCTCCTTACTGGACAGCTACTATCAATAACCATGGCAAACTATAACCTCCCTCACAATTTGGGTTAAGCACTGCCGCCATTCAGGTTCACATTTTAGTCATCGGCAATTCCTGCATAATTGCGTTAGTTTCAGTTAAAGGGTTTTGAGAAGTAACAAAACACTGTAGGTCACTTGAAAATTCATTGAAAAAGTTTTAAAATTACAGCCACTAAATTATGTTCAATTAACACCATAAAAATGGCAAAAGTAAATGATGCGGTTTGATGTATTATGTGTCATATAAATCAAACCTTGTATTGCAAGATACTAATCACTTGTGTGGCTTCTGTGCAAATCCTCGGTGTTTACCTGAAATGATTTAAACAAGTGATTTTACTTGCGTAGTGGAGCAAGTCTGGATATTGTTCCGTGAAATATACATAATAAGCATTTCAATATACTTCGTCTAGGGTTCGACATATTTGCAGCATATAAGACCCTCATATAACTTTGTGGTGTTTTAAATATAACAAATATGTTCATATTTAAATCAGATAAATTGCATTATAAGGTTAAGTGTGAAATGGAAAATACAACAAACGAAAGGCGGTATGTGAATAACAGTAGGAATTACACCAACTGTCAAGAACATTAACTTAACAGTAAAATATATTTACCGATTTCTTAACAACACTATAATCCGAAATCTAATGAAATCCTATGTTTTTTCTTCTGTCAGGATATCTACACAGAAATCTTGATAATAGCAAGAAGCCCGAAAATAACGAATCAGGTCCGATATTTAAACACCAGCATGGAAGCACAAGTGATTTAAGGTAACAAGATTGAATACATTATTGATGAGAATAGAATTGTGGCATAATGGACTCCTGTTACAATAGGTTACATCGCAGACTTGGCCTGGTGATGCAGTGATAACGCAGTGGCATTTCGCGGGGTAGAATAGGCTATTGAACCACTAGGGTGTTCTTCATTTTCCTAGTTTCTTACATCATAAAAATCCCTATCTATTGTGCTGCCACATGTGCCAATAAGATTTCAAAATATGAGTTGATGTTAGAATCGTTGTACATATCAAAACAAGTTCATACATCTATGACACGAAGTTGATTAATCCGTATCCAACCCCTTCCAATCGAAAATCACTTTCATATCAATTTGAAATTATTCATCGCCACAGCTCTTTGCACTCAAAAGTGAACATTTCGCCATGAAACAGAAAGTAATTGGACAAACAAAAGTATTCTTTTAATAAGATGAAATCTTAAATGCTGTCGTTTTTGCTGACATTTGTCTGTAAGTAATTAGATATTAATTAATTGCCATCAGTGAACTATTCTATCATGAACGTCTTCCGTAAATAGAGTCGAATCTGCATATCGCGGGATGGCGATCACAATCGTTATAGCCGAGACAACTTCTCATGATAAGGTGTGATTCACAGTATCGGTGGTGTTGTTCAAAGCGTCGTTGTAGTAATCCCACCATTCTGGGCCTGAAGAACATCATACATAATGTTTATGATACATCATACCCTGAGGAAAAAAGTAAATTTTATCTATGCAGAAATTACGCTTTACTGTTGTGTCTATGTCACTATCTTTATGTTAATTTGCATTCCACTTCAACATTTTTTTATCAATATTGAATATATTAGACAGCGGACAAATGTACAGAAGGAAAACACACAAAAATAGGTTCACTCAATACAATACCAGTATACAGTACCTTTAGCAATGATTTCTACATTGAACAATATCATTGTAAGGGGGATAACTCAATATTGTTGTTTGCTTTGGAGAGAAAATTAAATTAAGATTCAATATTCTCCATTATCTGAAATATTGTAAGGGTTTCAAAGCATATTTTGTGACATGTGTTGGTTGAAATACACATTCTATCAATAGATTATCGGTGAGGATCAACGTATTTCTTTATAAGTATTAGATCAGGAAAGAATAGAAGCTGCAAAATGTAATAAGTTATATGCCTAAAATGAGTCTTAAAATTCAACTGATCCCAGCCTCGGGATCTTCATGTCCACAACTCATTTGTTTCTTCTGTTCTGTTCTTATAGTTTGCTCTAAATTTAACACCTTTGAGTGTTTGAGTAACGAATATGTTCACATGGTCATATTTTCTTATTGTTTTAAAATGTATAACTAGGGAGCATGGGGAATTTATAAGTCAAATTTGAGCACGATATTGGCAAAACGTCTCAGGATATAGCAATAAGGTTATCAAATATCGTTAAGCTTAACGCCCATTACTTATTCTAAAGAAGCCTTTAATGACCAATGCATTAATAGTGATGAAGGCACCCGAATAAGTAACTTTAGAATGATTTATCCGGAACTTGCAAAGAAAAAGAGATTACAAATTATAATTTCTAAAATGTCATTTTTTTGTTTAAATAACAAAAGACACAACTAAGAAAAAGGGTGAATATATATGAATAAAGAATTACAATAAAATTAAAATATTTCTCAGGAAAAAGCTGATTCTTTTTTCCAATTAGTGCCAAAATAGAACTTACATAAGAAGTAAAAGCGGGAATTTATCTGTAGAATTTGAGTACTTCTCAAAGTACTGATCACAGAAGAGAGGCGATTTTAACAGCCCATCCTCGGATGATTGTAAGATAAAAAAATGTTTTCGTAACAAATGTTACCTTTACCAATGAAGTAACTATATCAAGTGATTGATCCTTGCGGGGTTACAAGAATGGACTTTAATATATTCACTAAACAGCACATCTTTCTGTATACATTTTATCTTTAATGGAATACTTATCAAAGTCACACATATCGGAACTGTCAGGCAAGTATCTCACCTTTCTCAAGAAGGGGTAAATCAGTTACTCAATACAAAACACATTATTTCACTTCTAAGAATGTCTCTATAATGTTCACACCGTCAGTTTTAGTGTTATATAAATATATATACAGGTCTCGTACAGTGTGTGTATGATTTTACAAAGTACTACATCAGCAGTCCAACTTTAAAGGGTATGTGGATCAAAGACATGACATTTTAGCAACAAAAGAAAACAACTTTTCACAGGAACATTATTTATTACTTACATTGGACAATGACGTCAAACTTTACACTCTTCTTGATGAGGTCAGCACTGGATTTGAATACGTAGAGCTGGTCCAGTTCATTACACGTAACACGATATCGTTCTTCCACCAAAAGTTCCAAACAAGTTCCTACCTGTCGCAAGTACCTGATGATAAGTTGAATATAACCTTAAGTTTTGGAAAAATGAAATATTCTCAGAATAACATTGACTATAATGGAAGTTCGCAAATACGTAAAATTCACTTACACATTGATGAAACATAAAGTCCTAGACAGAATGTATACTGATATTGACATAGATATATCATTAAGATATTTACCGCGTTTTTGAACACTGATGTGCATTAACTTACCGGAGAAATGTTCGATTTTACAGATTCAATGGTATGACATGTAGGTATAAAAAGAATCTTACAAGTTGTGTGGCTATATGACTTACAAGCATTTCACAGTATCGTTATCTGGAAAACTTCCAAATTCATGAGGATTGAAACACTTGAAGACGAACATCGCCGCGTTGTCCTGATTTCTGCAAAGCGGGTCGGTTGCTGAAATAAAATGATATTTACAAATACAAGAGAGCATTTCTAACAATTAATGTTACATCCTACTTTTTAATGTTTATAGGGACATCACTCTCTCATGTTTTAAGATTTTTCCAATAAAAATCAGAAACCTTCGAAAAACTATTGAAAAGATAGTGCAAAAAACACATGAATGAATAGCACCTTTTGATACAATTATACAGCAGAGACAGCCAAACAAGGATTTAAGCTGCATCATACAGCAGTTTCGTCCTTCCAAGACGTTAAGTAAGAACCATACTGCTAAACTTTTTTTATATATATGATATTTTTAGAACAGCGTCAAGTACATGAGTAGATTCTGAACTGTGCAACTACTCGAATGCAGAATAATGTGGCATGTATGTCACGGCAAACCTCGGGGACTTATAGTCGACAAGCAGTGTCTCCCTACCACAATATCGAAGACAATACAAAAGACACACAAATGAAGTGTTCCGGATTTGTTTAAAGCCGGTTTTGACCAATCCGTTGATTCTGTCATTGAAATAGGTAATACATTTTGCCAACAGCACAAAACCACGATCGAAAGACAGTAAATCCATTAATGGTTTCACTATCACTTTCTCACCGGACAAATAATCATAGCAGTAAAGGAGAGATAACTCTTACTGCAATTAGTCTGACTGTAGAGTTGGTATAATATGGTAGTTCATTTATTTATAATTAAGTCTACATTCCATGAAGATAAATGACCCAACACTAACAGTGAAATACATTATTCATGTCGCCATTGTAGGTCTGATAATTTAAAGAAGGTTAATGAGTTTTAGAGCTCGCTTGATTGGATAACAATGGCAAAACAAGGTTGCTTGCAATGTTAACAAGACAACATACTGTAATTTGAAGTCATTCACGACACAAAGATGTCGACAGATGGCAGAAAAATTTACCACAGAGATTTAGGCGAGAAATTGTTCTTTTCGATTTATAATCAAGGAAAACAACACGAAAATACCAACATGTCAACGCAATCATAATTCAAACTCAGATGCAATAAAAGTATGGGCATTATATGAACGAAAGAAAGATTTACACGGAGACTCCTGAACAATTACAAGGGGATAGACTAGGCTAGATATTCCGGCAGAGTAAGCATCTTGTGCTTCACCAATGACAACCGCCTAGGTCAATTTAAGTATGTTACTTACAAAACAGAGGATCATCAGTGTTGTTCTGTCCAATGTTTCCCACACTTCTCAGTATAATATCTTGACCAGTAATTGTAGGAATAGGTAATAATTCAGAATGGTCAGCTGTTGAAATGACGTCAGAAAATTGTGTTGGTATTGACTCCGTTGTGGACACCGTGTCCTTCACTGTTGTAGGTTTCATCTTTGGATGGTCGTTTGACATTTCGTCCGAATACGTGTCATTTGATGACTTTGACAAAGTACTCGCTTTGTTCACTGAACAAAATTATCAATATATTAATAACATACTCTCCGTTATAGAAACAGTGGTACACTTCGTGAAAGTCCTGTTGATGTCGTTATTTTTAACAACTAATTTGATGGCTATAAACATACCATAATAGAGTTCAAAAACTTCACTTCAGTGCGTCATCACGTATACAGCTTAAATGACGTTAAACCTAGGTCATATAAAGGAATACATGTAGATAAAGGAATATTTAATTTTAAAACCATAATCAAATACCAAATCGACGAACACAATATACATCATATCGATTTGTTTGACCAACTAGATTTGGTAACTTCAACATTATGTCTATGTTTATACAATATTAAGATAGGACGAATAGGGCTTGCGTGACAAAACACTACCCAGCTCACCAGCTTGTTGTCCCTCCGTTCCAGACGATACCACTACAAAATGAAAGGACATTCGTTTTAAGAATGGTCATCAGCATCAAAAACATTTAACAGTCACAGTAAAACATGCTATTTTGCAGAAATTATAAGAACTGTGACTTTGAGGTGAAAAACATTAATACTTACGAGTAGTACAGACACATTCACAAACATACTTAGAGTTATTGAATGAATGCTTCATGGTCTCTTTACCTGCAAAGTAGATTCCAACTGCTATACCAATTATGAGGATCAAGAGGATAAAAATAACGCATTTCCCACATTTACACGTTTTTGTTGGTTCTGAAAAAAATATACAGTCGCAGTGTTAAGTACATTAAAGTATAAACATTATCCTCAAAATCTATAAGCATCACAATGCGTGATAACAAAGATGGTCACATCACGAATAATATCAGTTGTACGATTAAAATCCACAAGTATCCTATTACTATTATACACTACACAAGGTATAAACCTCATCCTCAAACTTACCAGCATCATAACATTATGATAATACAGAAGAGACTGTTGATCTTTATGTAATTTTGAGGTTTTTCTTGTAAAACCATTTTTTTATGATGTAATACTTACCATAATATTGGTATGCATATTCCATGTCTACAACAATCTTTATCACCTAATGTACCGGAGAACATAGGGATGGTAGGCGGATTGATTTGAAATCTTTGTGACGTGATGCAAAGATGGGTATAGGCATGGAATATGATTACTAAAGTTATGATATGTATTACTGAAAATAAAGACTCTTTTACAAATCACAAAACAAAAGGGTGGTGAAGATGAAGATAACTTGAACGAAATCATCATCTTATTTCTCTTGTTTAGTTTATGAAACAAGAATACATTTAAATGTGAAAACGGTAGATACCTACCTGGTTGGCCTTGTTGAATTGTATAGGACTGGGTTCGACTGATTTCATCTGTTGGTAAGTATAATTGAGTTGTTGTTGATTTACCCTCCAGGTTTCTTACATTTAACACGTTATCCTGGAACAAAACAAGCAATGCACTATGATATGTTACATCGATTTTCCAATGCTTATTGATAAAATATGCCGTGAAAAAAAAACAAACAACAAGAAAATGTCAACATGTAAACATAATTATTATTAGAACTCAAATTCAATAAAACGACGGCAAAATATAAACAAAACATTTTACATGGCAAGACTCCTGAAAAGGTATCATGAGAATATTGGTGTTCCGTAGGAGCAAATGTCTTCTGCTTAATCGACCCGTTATGCAAATCTTAGTCAATCCAAGGAAGTAATGTCAATTTCTCAAATGAGAACAAAGCATACAACAACCGAACCACCAGGCAAACTAGCAAACGTTAAATACGCCCAGGTTCATTTCCTACAAAGAAATGGAATATTTCTCATTGAAATCGCTATGACGACAGTAAATCTTCAGCATAATTTTCATTATCCTACATCATTTGAATCCCAGTGTTACGAGTTTGTCATTCAGTTGACGACTTCTTGCACAAAAAATCGTAACAATGGGGGTAGGCTCTTGAATATCGAATCAATTGCGACATGTAAACACCATAGGTTAGGGATGCAGGTAGTTGCTATCCTGGAATGGAAAAAAATCACAATAGAGAAATCGAAATCATCTCGCTTATCATACAGTTTGGTGGAAAGTTGTCCATGTTGGTTTCGTTGTAGGAAAGGATCGAGGTAAGTGGCTGATTTCCAGCTCTGATGGGTATATGCGATGGGCGTGGTCAATAGTTATCTTATTATATAAGGACAACACGTCATCAATAAATCTGAAAATGAAATTAAACGACGACTTCCAAGTTAATTTTGCACTAAATATAACCAGTGCTAAAAGATTATCACAAGTGTATAACGGTGAATAGGCTTTTTCTTAAAGAATTCCATTAAATCTAGGTAAAACTAAACGCCTGAAATGTTAATTGTTAGTCTGAAAGACTGCAAATATTTTTCTATCTAACTGAATGAGTGGATGAGGCACAGAAGGTACCATTTTTTTGCTTGTCATATGATATGTTTAAATTAGTCGTCTGTAAATAGGAAATCGTACTTTTTCAAGTGTTATTAGTGTACATACCAAGAAGATGTACCAAACGTAGTGTATAAACACAGTTCATGTTTATGAAATCGACATCGAGATCTTATTATTTCTCAGTTATCAAATACCTTTCCACCTTGTTTAAGATTTCAACTTATTTCAATAGTTATTGCTACACGCCTGGTTTCTTTGTGATTTTGAAGAGGAGTGTATCCTTTGTTACCAGCATAACGATATTGAGATAATATGAGCATGTGCGTTTAATGTTTTATAATCTTACTGGCATAGTTTTTGTCCTGATAAGATACTATCTATTTCATCTATGCCAAATAAAATGAAAATAAAAAAATTGAATTTCTTTTTATATCATTTAACTGTTCCTTTACTGATAGTCACATCCGTTTGGCGAACACCGAACTCGTCGTCATACACTGTGCCAGACGATACCGTCGTTATTTCTAACTAGACCAAATATACGAGGAAGTAATAACGACAGCGAGAGAAGTGCCGACAAATTTCCAAGGTAATATGCCGCTTTATCAAGGTAAAATTACTTGTAAATACTGAAACAAGTTCACATTTATATCTAGAATTACATGTTTTCAATGCTTGTCCATTTATCCTGTTATCACTGTATAAACTATACACTGGCATTTTAAAATAAATCATGTATCATCCTGGAAATCGCTGGTGTAACAACATCAGGATATCATTAACCTGACTAAACATCCACTTAACACGTTATCACTCTGGTATGTCTATATAGACATTAATTAAAACCGTATTTGCATACGGTATTAGATAATGAGAGTCTGTAACAAGGCATTCATTATACATGTGAATTGTAAATGAAGAAGAATTCAGTATAAATTATGATTATGTAATTACTGGTTGCAAGCCTGTGCTAGATTAAGATTTATTTTGAAGTAACAAGAAAGTATTTGAAATTAAAAGGCTTTTATATCGGAAATATATCTATAAGTCAACAAAATTTTATTGAAAAAAAATTAAATGTTAGAAATCATTTACATAAGGTATTTTCTGACATCTATATGCACTGTATTAGACCAGCTGGACATTGATAACAATACACAAATCGTATGTATAAAAAGCGTAATTACGATGTTGATTCCGAGTAAGATTTTTTAGTAATGTTGTCAACACATTTTCGCGTTAAGGATCCTAAACAGCAATGTCCGTGGTAGCTGTGGCGGTATTGGACCGTGTAATTACGGCTACTTTGATGAACACAATCACATTTGGTTCGTGTGTACATAACATTACGTTTTTAAAACAAATATATACCTTATTAACAAAAATAACTTATCTTACCTGTCCTTGCCACCCTGGCATGGTTCAAAAGAATCCCTAGAGTGGAAATCCAGGTGTGGTAGGTTGAGTGTTTGTTTTTGTGGCTGTTGTATGTAAGCAATGATTCACGTCCCGCAGACCTAGCAAATATCATTAGCATATATGGCGTAGCCGTTACCGAGTTCATTAATCAGCGTCAATACTTCAAAACAAATCATATTTCATTTTAAGTTTTATTCTGTTTGGACTTACAGTTGGGTTTAACTGTCTAATAAGTGTAATTTCATATCGAAAGTGTAAATTACATACAATTTGCATATATCTAATATTAAATGTAAGCAGTTATATGTACGTAATATCGTTTGCCACTGTTTCACTGCTGATTCAGATCTACGAAATATTCTCGAATTTTCTTCAAATGATTCTACAATCCAATTAATTTATTAGATCATATACATTAATAATTAAGGTTCTCTGGTCGGAACAGAGTTATCATTTCACCTTCTCTGCGTGCACACATCACAGAAAATATACACATATCACAAAGGAGAAAGGATTAAGCAGACGTTCTTACAGAATAATAATAAAACTTAGCCGTGTAAGACGTGAATTGAGAGAATCTAATTATACAGAGTGGTTAATTAAACGACGAAATCAAACATGCAAACCCACTAAATTACAATTTATGAATATTAGATCGCAAAAAGGCTTCAAATGTGATTTCAATTATTGTTTGTAAAGCTTATAGAGTGCATAAATTGGATTTATTACAACAAACATTTTATCAATAAAAAAAAAAAAAAAAAAAAACAATTTCATTAATTCAGAGAAAAAATATCTTTTCTATGCAAATATTTTTATATACGTCACATAAAAACCGATGACAATTTTGCAACATATGATAAGACCATATGTTCTGGAATGGTAAGTGTTTTCGACAACCGGCATGGATCTAGATAATTCCATGTCATGTTAACTTCCCGAAAGGAAAACAGGCTTGTAATTACAAAGAAGTGGATAACTACAAACGTAACAAATATGACCAAAAAAAAATTCTTTAAATTGACGTATGACGTTTGGCAGAAATATAATTAGGAATTTACAACTACAGTATATCGTTTTATATATGAAGGCATCTTTTTCAAGATGGGCACAGTAGAGGTGTTAAAATAACAACAACGAAACGCCGACATGTTAACAGAATCTTATTTCAAACACTAATTCGATGAAACTATGGCAAAATAAGTACAAGAGAAAGATTCAAACAAAAATCCTAAAAAGCATAATGTTATTGGAAAGGTATGCGCCGTCTGCTTCATCGACGTTACCAGTCATATAATAGAAATATACCATTTCTCACTGTGATCGTAATGACGACCGAAAAACTACCCCATAACCTTCAACAACTTGCATCGCTCTTTGTTGTGAGTTCGTCTTTCTGTTGCGGACATCTTGCGCGAAAATCGTGAGGTTGGGAACAGGATTTAGAATTTAGAATCATTTGCGACATATAAACTTCAAAGGTTTGGGATACAGGGTTGTGACTATCCATAAATAGAAAGTTTTATCACTCTTATACAGTTTGGCGGAAAGCTGCCGATGTTAGTTTCGTTGTAGGGAATGATTGAGGCATGCATCTGATATAGGAGAGTCTATTGTGTCCTTGATACGTCATCCAAGAGTGAGACGCAGTGTGATCTTATAGGTATGTCTACAGTCTGTAACAAACTTATTATCTTATCATTTATTCTTTACTTTTTTTAATTATCATTGTTTTCTACATGCGTGTTTATGGACTTACAATTACAAGTTACTTGCTCGTCTTTCTTCTTTTTGAAAATATCATCTAAAACGTAATTAACGGATAGTACTGCTCTCAAAAGTGGGTTTTAACAATTGAGTGAGACATGTTGCGTCCGTTTTCTTGGAAACGTTGTTCGTAAACTAAATATTGTCAGCGCACATTGACCAACCCCGTTATATGAAACGACGCTGTATCAGTGTGTGGCCAGTCTGGTTGTTGTCTTTTCCTGTATGCCATCGTTTTAAACAGTTGAATGAATAGTTGGTTCCTTGTCCTAATACCACATATCAGGTGACCTGTCTATTCTTTATGAGTAACAATTTGGTAATGCTTGCAAGAGTGTCCCATGAAAGTATTGAACATTTTGCTCCTAATGTCTTCAATAACATTGTTCATCTTTCCCAGTATTAGCACCACAACGAGCAACCAGTAAGAAGTTGAATATATTTTCATCGAAACAATTCACAACAAAACGGAGCATTTCAAGTTTCTAGCTATATTTTCTTTCTCTTTCGATAGGATTTAACATATTTGTGTGTCTACCCTTCCCTATAAGACTGTTTCGCATCGCTCTAAGTTTATATGTCCATTATCACCAAATATTGACAGTGACTTCCTAAAAACTCTTTATTTATAAACATATTTATTTTAATTTCGTTCCGCCCAATCATAATTACGTGAAAAAGTAATTCCGATCACCTCATTGCCCGTGAAAGAAGTAGGACGCGTGCCTTGTTCTGGGCGAAAAGATACAATAGTGCATCGTTTTGTAGCATTGCTGTACGTGTTAACTGTGCATTTGTTAACAAGTCAAATAGCTGTTTTATATGCTAATGAAAAATGTCAGTATCATGCAGACAGTTTTAAATAACATGATCTTACCACACACCGGCATTACCGATAGCAGAATTACATCAACAATTATCCTACTCATTCCTAATGACAGACAAAGCTAAAGGAACATACCAGTTTCTATATATAAGTAAGATTTCGTTAAAATATTACTGAGTGGTCAGATAAAAAGTGTTGTTATTGCTGTGCTAAAACAAAACCGTACTACATACTTATTTCGAATGTCGTTCATTATATAAATATTGTTTCCTGTCCAATAAAAAAAGAAAAAAAAAAATATAGTGTATTATTGATTTCAATCGTGTTCTGAAACTTTTGTTGTCTGTTGACGATCCCTTTGCATCATGTAAGATGCCTGATTTAAAATAGTATATATAACAATGTTACTACAGTAGAACAAAATGACACTACAATGTACAGCAAATTCGTTATTTTTCAAATTTTGTACAAGAGTGTTGTTACTATATTAAGTATATATCACGAAAGAACATTATTTTTTAAATGGAATTCTAACCCTATTACAATGTAAGATAATTTGATAGGTGTATGACCTCGGTTTCATTTAATAACATATTTCTACTAACTTGCACAAAGTGTCAAAATCATTGACTCGTTTACTACGCCAGCCACAATTTCAAACATTTTCGATGGTCGGATGGTGCGGTGATAATGCAATCGCCTTTCACCTAGACGTCTGAGGTTCGATTTCCGTAACGGCGTGAAAAGGTTAGAGGTCACCTTCCCGACCACATGGATTTCCCCTTGGTATTCCTGTTTCCTCCCACAGTAGGATCTATTGCGCACTTTCAGTTGGGTCGACAAGAGTGATTAATATAAGTTGAAAAAGCTTTTCCCGAAATTGTTGTAAAATAAATAACGTGTAATTTATAAAAAAAAGTTTTTTTCCTTTCAAACTTCGGTAATGGCCGCCATTCCTAATGTTCAGAACTCACAAGATTGGCAGTCATTGCAAAATATGCTGGAAAATGTGTTGTCGGGGGGAAGTGGATTTCTATATTTAGTAAACTATTGTCACTTTGTGGGGAAATGTTTGACCTTTCCATCAAAAACTGAACATGTATTATCTATGAGCATCGCTCAGCTGACCCGCTAACAAATTGCGCGCGTCTTTATAAAAAGGAGGAGTTCTAACTTTAAACTGCGACTCAGTCAAACCCGTGTCTTAGTTAAAACGTTCGACTACAAGTCTAAGTTTTAAGTCACTAAAACCAGGTACCGTCAAACAAGGAGCGACAATGGAATTATACGTCCACGAACAAAACAACTATCTCTGGCCCGTGCAATTGTTTTTATACTACTGCAACAGAGACATATATAACACATGTGATATATACGTCTCTGAGTGTAGCAAACAGAAAATATTTTGTCAGTTTATTAATTATTTGAAGTCTTTCATACATCTGTAAAGCATATACGGTACCATGTATAGGCCTACTGTACATGATTATAGCCTATATACAGTATAATGGATAAAAGACACTGGGGCGATCCACAGAATCTCGTTTCTATAAATTTAAGAGTGATGATGTAAATATCAGCTCAAAACAATATAAATTCATAAGATCTATTTTGTGCTGGACATAATGCTATCTTTTCCTATCATAGATAGAAACGAGGTCTTGTACAAAGAGCTCCGTACACTAATGCGTGGTCTACGAGAGACAACTCTAACCAAACTTGTATTCGGCATGGCGGGTAATGAATTAGTCACCGTTGATGGCAATGAAGCGAGCGACAATTTAAATCATCATGGGTTGAAACATGGACAGTTTAACGTACAACAAACTAAAGAAGAAAGGAGACAGATACGAAAAGGATACCGGATTCTTATCGATGACTTAAAAAGTAGGTGGATGTCGAGCGTATCAACTTTGATGAAGTGATGATTTTTATTTTACGATATGAATGATCACACGAATCCCAAATTGAGTCACCGCATGTTACAGGAATTGTTGTTCATATTTACTACAACTGCTGTTTATGAAACTTGCCTTCTCTACATCATCTAGTTTCGTGTTACTTACCATGTACCTATCCTACTTTCACTTTCGCTTTATCAGGTTTTGGGTCTTTTGACTTCTCATTAATTTCAGTCATTAGTTGAGAATCCTCTAAGGCTGCCTTTTAATCCAAAAGTTGAAATCAACAAATTCATTTTGTTCTTATTGGATTCCGTTATTTTTCCTTGCCAAGTAAACATCTACACTGTATGAATCCGTTTCTTAAAGTGTTCACTAAATTACATATACCTACTTTAAAAAAGAAAAAAAAAACTTATTCTTTTGTATATAGCTAAATTGCAATGGTTGTTTCTCTGTTTGTCTGTTTTACAGCTATGTCTTTTTTATATGATTGATTTGATCAGTTCTTTATCATGTTCTATGCATAAGTATATCAATTTAGTGTTTATTGAGTCAATTTTCATACCTTGCCATACATACATGTACATTGCAATAACATTATGCAAATAAACATGTCTACATGTATGATAGTAAGTAAAATGACCTGCATGCTGTATGTCATAATAGTATTCATTATGTTGCAGATTTTTGTATGTCTGATCTGCCCTGTACTGTTGTGATCAAACGTGATGCTTAATACCAGGCTTTCAAATGTTCTGTTTCCTCAGCTAATGAAAGAGAATTAAGAGAAACTCTCTCTTGCTAAGAGATACAAGTCATTGTTTATATTGGTGTTATTGTTTTACCAGGGTTACATACTTCCCTTTCGAGACAGAATTGATCTTCGAAGTTTTCCAGGCAACGCTAAGTATTTCCATATATACCCGCTGAGTGTGAAAGTGGATGCCAATCTTCCAGAGCAGTGGTTTACACTACTGGTCTGCCAGGGATTGAAATTTGAAGATTTGGCTTCACACTTATCATCACCTTCATTGCCTGACATTTTGTTAATTTTGTTTCTATTCTTTTTATTGTTTTTTGTTTTTGCAGCAAACGTACATGACTTTATTAGTCCAAGCTCTTGCAGACTAGATGAGGCACTGACCGAGACAAATGAGCTATATAAAAATGGTATGTTGTGGTGCTATAAAACTTAGAACAGTGGTGAGGCATAAACAGTTATTTTAATGGTAGGTCATAACTTGATATGACATTGTAATATGATAGCACTAGAAAGAAAAACTCCAAACAAATCAAACAACATGAAATATTAAGACTTCGTATATTGATTGGAAACATAAGTGATAAAAGAAGAAATTTTCTTGTGCCAGGTCGTCATCTCTGACACTAAATTGCCATACCAAGAAATAATAGTATTTATGATAAGTATATTTCATGAGTGTGTCTGATATTTTAGCATCTCTTTCTGTTTTTGTACCGGGTTATATAAGGGGTAAATTTTATAACATGATATGTGTTCTCTATTTTCATTGGTGCATGTCTTCAATGGTGTATTTTTCTCTTGCGAAAATCAATAACACTTTCATCAATGCGATATTTTCTTGATATTTCATTGGTAAAACTGTAGTATCCAATTGTTCTTGTCCTCCTGCTGTGATAGATATTTTCCTTCTCTGTAATCAATATATCTAAATGAAAAGGTAACATATTAATATGATAAAGAGAAGGTATATTTTCCAAGTTCTGATTTTGTCTCAAGTTCATTTCATGGCTAATAATAATGATTTCTCACATACTACACAGTGTGAAGTGTGGTAGCTGTGGAAAGATAAACTCTATTTTTCACAGAGTAGGGAAAGGCAGGTGTCATGTGCCAAGAGGCTACTCATTAAAGGGTAGCATTATCATTTTATGATAATAATGTCATCTATTTTGAAACACATTTCATTGCACATTGATGATGGCACAATGGATAAGTTTAACAACTTACAATCTATTGCTTTTTTATTTACAAGGAGATGAGAAAAATAATCAAGCATTGGTCTATTCAAAACACTGGGATATCCAACCCTCTTGCTGACCATCTGAACTCTTTACACTTTACCTGTTCATGGAACAGTCCCTTGTACGATTCTATTAGTCCCTTCAGCTGTAAAAGCAAATCAACTAAAACATCGATGGCACCAAATAAGGAAACCTTCAGCAAGTTTAATATACCCATCAAGGTTTTAATGTAGGACAATGTATCAAAAGTGGTAGGATTCAGTTGTAAAGAATCAATACCTTTAAAATCTGATTAATTAGGACAATAGTTGCTGGTATTTTACTGTCTTCTTTTAAGTCACAACAATTTCTGATTCAGAGTAGGTACAAAGCTCTAAAGATGTACACCATCAAGTACATCTGTATACACATATACAAACTTTGTGACGAGCGGTTCATCTTCAGGCATTGCCTGTTGTCTGCTGATTTAAGTAGCAATGAAATTGGTTGAAATTAAATAATAGCAGAAGAAAATAAACAAAGAAATTGTAAAATCAAAAACCATAAGATATTTTCTTCCAATTTTTACTTTACAGTGAAAAAAACATCAGAGAAAGTGCTAGACTCATTGGCTGTCCGAATCATATCAACTTACGGTCGCCAAAAGCACAAGCTGTTCAAACGGATTTCATCGTACCAGAAGAGTTTGCTGAAAAGCTGGTAAGAACATTAATTTGCACCATTAAATTATTTACTTACAGTGTATATTTTCTGCCATATTATTCAATTAAAGTAGGTTAATTTTGTGTGTGTCTTTTTTCCATCATTACAGTATTTTAGTCAAGAGTCAGATGAATGATAAATGCACCTTTACTTATTGGAGTACCTGGATTTAAAGAATGTTTGTTCACACAGGACTCAGCAACAAACAAGAAACCCATCTGACTTCAAACAAAATTGTCATGTTTATTTTACTTTTTTTTACCACCAATTTAATGCTATATCAAAATTATCCATATATGTTATCAATTTTTGAAACAGATAACATTCCTTGGTGGCCGGCAAGTGGAAGACAGTTGTGGACCTATTGTGATATCAAGATGTGGATGGTCAGCCCTCGGAAAGTCTACCCGAAAATTCTTCAGTAAATCACCACCACTTCATATCATGTATGTTCAGACTTCAGCACATCATTTTCATTCCACTTCACAGTATCTGCTGTCATCTTCTGTTTAGATTTAAGTCTGAATTAGTAACATGACATACTTAAGGAAAAAAGTATTTCAAACTTATCAAGGTCATATAACAGAATATAAATTTGGTTCTTAACAGAATATAATTTTGGTTATTAAAAACTGACATATTTATAATGATGTAGGATAAAATAAGGTAGTCAAAGTTTGGTATTAGACCCCTTTCTTGTGTTTAAAGCAAGACGTATGTATCAATGCATTAAGAAAAATAAATGAATCAAGGTAGTTTCAATCACAACATACCCACGCGTCACCAGTAAGTGAGTTATTTAATGACAGACTAGTTTCGTCTCTATAATTGAGTCTTCATCAGGACAGCATTTAGACAATTTTTCACCCCTGAAGTACTTAAAATGGGGCTGATTTTTACATTGTGATGTCCAATATAAACATGTACAATAGGGTAGGGGCAGATAAGCCTTATCGTTAACTGAATAGAAGATATCTGAAATTATATTGGGCAAAACAGCCCTTACATGAAGTTATAGTTCATATATATGTTAAATCACATTTGGAAAGATTTAAAATAAACAGGGGGAAAAAAATAAGTTCTGATAACAAAATACTTCATGAAATAACTGCTTTCTATTACAGATGAAATTATAAAGAAAAGTATGCGTGTGATTGTTATCAAATTTTGATTAAGACCCAAATATAATAAAAATGCATAATGATTTAGATTTTCAGGGCTTTATTCAAAGATCAGCTTTGCTGGGTATATATATTTTCTTAAAAAGATAATTAAATAGAATACATGATATATACTTTGGCAATTAAAAGTCTTGCTCATTTAAAGTTGTTTTTCTTTCTTGGAAATACCTTTTTTGTAGCTTTGTATAATTTTAGGGGTGGAACATTCTAAAGAGAGGCTGTTGTCAAGAGGAAATCAAATAGACCAGAAAAAATTGTAAGACAAAAAGAAAATGAAAAACAAAGCAAGACGACAGTTCCCAAAAAGGTAAAAATCTTAACTCACCTCCCTGGCACGCCAGATTTTTGCAGTACTGAAAATTTCACCTGAAGATTTTATTAGACATTTTGGATACATTAAAACAACTAAAAATGTTTGTAGAAAGATAAAAGACCTCTTCAGATCCATATTTGCAGCATATATCCAGCATTGGCCGCAGAATATGATATTTATAGATTTAATCAATAATTAACTACACCAAAATCAGTATACATATCACTTTCATTAGAACAATACTTTCTGGTATATGGTAACACCTTAACTTTAGTCAAAGCATTTGTAAAGTCTATTTTAAGTCAGGACTTAATTAGATGAGTTCTACATTGTATATACCTGGTAAATATGAAACAAATTAGCAGCTTGTTTATTACAATTTCCTTGATGTTCTAGTTGAAAACTTTTGATGATATTGGTGACCTGGGCCCATCACAACATGTAGCCAGAGTGCTTAAACTTCTGCGAGACTCTTACCAACAGGAAGAGTGTGAGTAATATACATTTGAAGCATAATATTATATATGTAACAGAATTTTAGACATAACCTGGTTTTATAATATGTTTTTGACTGTAGTGGTATTGTTGACCACATTTAGTGTGTGATGTAAATGTTAAAGGGATTTCTCACCAAGATGTAAAATTTCTGGCTGTTCTGTACCTTTTAAGAACTCATTCTAATGACTTTTAAAACTATTGATAGCATCAGAATATCTCTCCTGTGGTCAGTTTGGACAGGCAAAATTAGTGGGAATAGTTCCAGGCAAACCATCTGAATACATTTGTATAGCCAGTCAGGAAATCCGGAACTGAAAGGTCACTGGATTATATATTTTTTGCTTAGTATTGAGCATATACGCAATTGTATATGTAAGCTGTTTTCTTTGATTTTTTCCTGAGATTGCAATTTTATTACTTTATTAGGCTTATTTTCTGTTGATTTGATAATTCACACAATTATTTTTCTATTCTGTTCAGTTATGCAATGCAAACCGGTTATGATGGAGTCAGGGCAGTGTGAACATTTGTAAATCGATCTAGCTAGATCTATAAAGAATTTCCTCAAAATGAATATCATACATGCATCTTTGTTTAAATGGTAAACTGAGGTATATGGTTTCCATAAGAACATTTGTAGACAATTTTGTACAATTTTGTACAATTAAAAGTATATTATGAGATCCAAACTTGTGAAGAATATCCCTTTTATTCATTAATTTAAATGAAATACAGTTTTTGTGATTAACAGAATAGACTTGTGCAGGTATGATATGGAATTGATAAAACAGGACCAAGAAGCTGATACGTAACAAGGAAGGCTTGTTATGTATAAAATTATTGAACTTGTTTGGTAAATTCCATATTACATTGACACTCATGTAGCATACTTTGTATAAAGTGTACAAGTCTATTGTTTATTTTTTGATAATTTGATTATACATCCTTATGACTATCTAACTTGTGTGTCATGTTTCCCTCATACAAGCTGATTTTACTTGATACATTGCAGGTCAGCCTCTGTTTTTTTTTCTTTGTCCTTGACCCCGATTCCTTTGGTCATACAGTAGAGAACATATTTCACACGTCTTTTCTAATCACGGTAAGGTTTAATATTTGTTAGAAATGTTGTCAGGTGTAAATGCTTTCAGATTAAACTTTCGTTGAAATACTCTGAAAGTTTTGTGACGAATATATATGAAAAGGAGATTTGCATAGGAAATGGGTATTATAGGAAAGTGACTCAGGTCAGACATTTAAAATGTGAAATGTTATGGGGAATCTTTCTGAAAGTGACTCACTTCAGGCATTTGAAATATGAAATGTAATATGGTCTTCCATTTTACATATGTGGTAACGTATGGTTTAGCATGCAAAAAATATGTAAACATCAAAAGTTGTTGTCTCTATTCTGCACATTTCTGTACCTCTAAATTGAACACCTCGAATGAGGTGTTTCCTGATAATTCATTGTAGCATGTTTACTCTTGTTTTATTGTGCTTAGTTCTTTAGAGGAAATGCATACATCATTAGGACTCTTCATGAATTCAAAGCAATTCATCAAACATATTTGTGCTTTGTTCTTGTTAAAAGTCAAATAATATTAATCTTTTAGAGATAAAATGGTAATCACAACAAGCCGTGCTTCCTGGTAGAAAGTATTTATATAAATCATGTAATGCATAGAAATCGGTAAAATTAGTAACACAGCTGATTTGTCAAGATGTAGGGACTAAACGTCAAATATTACCATTTGCAGAGGGGTTAAATATATGTTATTTATTGTCTTCATTCCAATTTTCCATATTTTGAAAGGTTTTATTCTGAAAGACTAAGAGGAGGAATGACATTTCAAAACAATTAGTATTACTTGTGTCATGTGTGTGAAATAATCCGAATAATCAAGATTATTATTACTTGCTGGTCAAATTTGTAAGCAAAGTTCAAAATATATAGTTCATTGGGGTTCTTTTAAGATTCAAAACTTAAATTCAAAATCAAATTTAAATTCAAATTCAAAATATTAACTTGAAGTTAGAATGATAATGTGTTGTCTTGGTTCTTTTAAGTCCTACCTAGATGTTAATATGTTTGATAAGGGTATGGACCTTAAGCTTTATGAATTATTAATTCAAAGAATCAAACGCCAAGATAGTGAGGAATGATTTCCACTGTACATAGTTCCTGGAAGGTATTATGTTTATAGAGATGCTCGCATTAAGATAAAATCAAATATTGTTACTTGTAATTTTAGAACCAGTAGGTGATGATGGAGATGAAGGATCCACATTGTCAAACGGCAGAAACCACCAAACAAGAATTTCCATAGCACCTGCAGAATGGAAGGTATTATACCAGAAAGATAATTTTTCTAATTTCTTATGAACCAATTTCGATTTTGTATCATTTAAAGGGAAAACATTTACAGATCTCAAGTGTTCATTGTTATCTGAATTGGTGCTTTTACAAAAAAAAAAAAAAAAAAAAAATTCAAGACTTTAACAAAGAAAACTTACTGTTAAGTCATTCTGTTGTTATGATTCAGGAACTGGTGGAAGTTTTTGGTGAGAAGAAAGCAGCCATTTCACATACCAGCTCTACTACCACTTGAAAAAAAAATTAGTCAGGTTCCACACCAGCGGTAGCTTAAGCTTATTAGAGAAACACTTGACTGATGGTGGTCTATTTGGACTAAGGTAGGTGATATCAGAACTATAGCAGAGACAGCTGCTGTAGAGAGACAATTGATATCATTATTACTGGAATGAGACTGCAGAGAGACAAGTGATTAATACTTCAAGGAGATCAATGGTAATCAGTGTGGCAAAAGACAGCTGATATCAATATTGATGGAATGAGACTGCAGAGGGATAGCTGATATCAATATCACTGGGAAAAGACAGCAGCTGATATCTCTATTTACTGGGGAAAGACAGTTGAAATAATAAATGCTTCAGAGCGACCACTGGTAATCAGTGTGGCAAAACACAGCTGATATCACTGCAGAGAGACAGCCGATATCACTATTACTGCAGAGAGACAGCTGATATCAGCATTACTGGAGAGAGACAGCTGATATCAGCATTACTGCAGAGAGACAGCTGATATCAGCATTACTGCAGAGAGACAGCTGATATCAGCATTACTGGAAAGAGACAGCTGATATTAGCATTACTGCAGAGAGACAGCTGATATCAGCATTACTGCAGAGAGACAGCTGATATCAGCATTACTGCAGAGAGACAGCTGATATCAGCATTACTGCAGAGAGACAGCTGATATCAGCATTACTGGAAAGAGACAGCTGATATTAGCATTACTTAATAAATGCAGTTGGTGATCATAAGCTTCTAAAGTTGCCTTTTATCTATTGTCTAACTGTCTGCCTTTGAGTAAATCTTGTCACATTTTTTAGGGCATTGAATGGAATTTTATTGTCAAATATATATGTAGTATCCCCGTCGTCCCTAGTTGAGCTATACACAATTTGATATGTAGGAATCACAATGTTCCTAGTTGACCTGTAAACCTGTACACATTGGTATAATCCTGATCATGCTGGGTTCAGTACATCCCTCATTTTCAGAACTTTTGGCATGCTGTTATATAATGTCTCCATGGTGTCACATGTTCTTAGGAAAGAAATTTGAAAGAAGTTTAGAAAATATATATTACTGTTTACTTTTTAACTTCTAAACATAATTATTTTTTAATTGGACTCCTTTCGTTTATGTTAGATAATTGTTGATTTTGTATATTGTTATGATGTTTTCTCCTGAGGGTTTTATGATGATACATGTTTACAGATATGTATCAATGTTTTTATATTAAAAGTTCTCTAGTCTTTTATAACCAGGAATATAGTTTACCTATTGATATTGATTAAGTGATTTCTAAAACTAACCACCCTCACTTTTGTCGTGTAGTGCGTATCAAATTTCCATTCACTCTTTGGTACTTTAGAGATAACTTGTTTGAAGTTTTTGGCACTCTTCGCCTTTATAATGACATGTTGTATGAAAGTTGTTATCTAATCGAAATTTGTGAAGTTGTACAGAAAGGTTCGTCAACCACTGCTATTTCTTTGCAGAGGCATGTGTGCATCTATTATATACGTGTACATGCACCTATTATATACGTGTACATGCACCTATTATATACGTGTACCTGCACCTATTATATACATGTACCTGCACCTATTATATTTGCTTACCTGCATCTAATATATATGTGCACCTGCACCTATCATATGCGTGTACATGCACTTATTACATACGTGTACCTGCACCTATTATATACGTGTACCTGCACTTATTACATACGTGTACCTGCACCTATAATATACGTGTACATGCACCTATTATATACGTGTACCTGCACCTATTATATGTGTGTACCTGCACCTATTATACGTGTGTACCTGTACCTATTACATACGTGTACCTGCACCTATTGTATACGTGTACTTGCACCTATTGTATTTGTTTACCTGCACCTAATATATATGTGCACCTGCAGCTATCATATGCGTGTACATGGACTTATTACATACGTGTACCTGCACCTATTATAAACGTGTACCTGCACCTATTATATACGTGTACATGCACCTATTGTATACGTGTACCTGCACCTATTATATGTGTGTACCTGCACCTATTATATGTGTGTACCTGCACCTATTACATACGTGTACCTGCATCTATTACATACGTTTACCTGCACCTATTGTATACGTGTACCTGCACCTATTGTATACGTGTACCTGCAAACGCAATAAAAGTGCATCACCATTTCATGCGTCCAAATGATCATTTAATGTGACTTTAAATATGCACAGATTGTGAAAACTAGCGTTTGAATCAACCTCAGCAAATCTCTCCAAATATAGATTTTGCTCCTCCTCTTTCTTAACGATACTTAGTGTTATACATGTATGTACACCTAAACTTACTTGTCATGTTTGTTATACATACAGATCATTATATAGTGTCTACATTCATGTTTTACTTTATTCGATTTTAATATTTAATTTTATCATGGAAATTAAAAAGCAATTGTAAAAATGTTTTAATATTTCTTTGATATTTAAGATGGCTGTTGGGGAACATTTTAAAGTTTTAGGTAAAGGATGAAAGGTATGCAATTATCAGTATTGTCAGTAAGTCTGTACGTTATACCGCTATGTTTTATAACTTTTTTGATGATCATTGGTCAAAGTTAAAAGTTCAAAGGTCACGCTTGACAACTTTGGAAATAAACACATTGTGTAGAAGATATTTAATGAGCCCTTGGACAGATTTCAGTTTCATAATACCAAGGTCTACACCTGATTATTAAGGTGAAAGGTCACATGTCACTCTTGACCACTTTTCAAATTAAAAAGCTTTTGCAGAAGATTACGAGTGAGGGTAGAACTGTTTGACCCCTATTCACTTTGTGCTTACTATAGCTATAGTTTGATATCGTTATTCCTTAACAAGCGATGTGTTTGATATATGTCGTCATTGTACATGCCTCATTTTGAAGGTCGTATAAAAGAAACACAAGTGAATAGCATCGTTCAATACAAATTTAAAATAAATGGAGCCAGATAATAATTTTAACTGCATCATTGAGATGTTTCGTCCCTTTAGGACTCGTCGGTGATGTTAGGGGCGTTCATTTCGAAACTTGAAGGCGAAATGTCAAAATTTAGGTTAGTAGGTGCACTTGCCTCATAATTCAATAAATTTTGTTATCTTCGAATCTGATATGAAAGACCATCAAGAACACGTGTAAAATAGTGGGTGTTGTTTTATTCAGGATTGGCAAACTCGATTGGTTGCTGCTGCTATTGCTAAGGAAACGATTGCTACTGAGAATGTAGATATTTAATGATCAAAGCGCCATAACTTATCAATGCTCTGATACACGTTATAATCCCTAAGTTCAATTTCATGGGATTGTAGTGTCGGTGAAAAGTAAAACGACGATTTATATTTCAGCAACTATCAAATCACTTTTATTTTCGCGGCTCTTGATTTTCGCAATTTTGCTTTCCTGTACTCTTTTGAAACGATATATTTTTGCTTATCATGAATCGTTGATTATAGTGTTTTATGAAATTGTTACAGTATATATGTGTCTGAGGTTAATTTCGCGATGATAATCGCAAAAATAACTCACTATCGAGTACTCGTTGTTTTAGAGGATAGAAAAGTCAGATGAACTTTTAGGTGAGATCTTTGATTAATACAACAATTTTAAGAAATTATTTTGAAAATAAGAAAAAACAATATTTGACCTACAAACTTTTTGAATTCATGTAAACTTGTCCGTCTAAAGAAATGTTTTCCTAAAGACTTACACGCTGATTATCGTCTTCTGAGAGACACTTTTAACGCATTTCGAACCCATTATTGTTATTTGTGAAGATAGAAATACGACTTGCTAAAATGTATAGCTACTGCGACAGACCGACACAATAAAATCGAGAGGTTTGCTAATAAAAACTGTGATAAACGTTAAAGAGATTCCTAAAAGCTCCAAGTCATTTTTATTTATCGTGCAAATGATTTATGTCTACTTTTCAGTATCGATTCGTATCAAATTCAGTTATCCCAGTTGACCGACAAAATCTTGAAGAATAAAATATACGTTCCACGCATTATTACACGATATAAGAGCATTGTCTTGCTTTGTACTAAGCATTGCCTATTCAGAGATCCTAAACTTCCAAATAGTTGTCGGGTTTGTTAAGCTATTCGTCAATCATAGTACAGGATTGGAGTACAGGGGTTACTGATATTATCGCTATTGCTGATTTATGTATGAATAATCTGATTTATATTGTTTGTTGATACATACCATTTTTTACCTTCAGATTTGTTTTAATATTTTCTGACTATTTAAACACAACTTGTCAATGTCTTTTCATACATTCGTTTTTTTGTGTGTGTTTTCAGACTATTTTAACGCAACTTGTCAATGTCTTTTCATATCTTCATATTGTTCATATTTTCAGACTGTTTTGACGCAACCTGTCAATGATTTTTCATATCTTCGTATTTTGTTTGATATTTTCAAACTGTTTTGACGCAACCAGTCAATGTCTTTTCATACCTTCATATTTTCTTTGATGGGTGTTTCGATTTTATTGAGAAGCTTTGTGTTCACATATAATAATCGATGAAGTAATGTATTTGTGGTTCTGAAAGCGATGCTTTAGGATATTTATCCTGATAAGGTGACCACTTTCCCATCCTCTGATAATTGTATACTATCGGGGCCTCTGTCTGTTTAGCTCTAGTAAGTGTTTTCAACAACAACACTTTAAACTTTAGAATTCTGGCTCAATGTATTATTTCACCAAGGCGTTAGTGTTATCTGGCATTGACAATAATAACTAGCAAAACATTTACTTATTGTAAATACAAACTATCAGGTTGGTGTGTGATTTAAAATCTTTAATATATTTTTGCCAGAATTTGGTTTTAATTCAGCCTGCTGTAAATGAGATAAGTGGTGACTGTGACTTCTGCTTAAATGAGAAGCTTGCACTATTACCTCTTTCATGCTTGAATTAAGTTTCAGATATATCGACGCCTTTGATACATTGTCCTTACTTAA